ATATATACTATATATAGATATATATATATATATATATATATATATATATATATATATATATATATATATATATATATATATATATATATATATATATATATATATATACANGGGTTTCTTTTTCCAAAGCCTTTTTTTTTCCCCATTTTCTCATATAAATTTTATTAATTTTGGGTTTTTTTTTTGGAGAAGGGAGGAAAGGGGCCAAAAAATTTTTTTTCGGGTGTGCGTAAAATTCTCCCTCAATTAGTTCAACGGTTAATTGATTTTCAAAGTAATCGATTATGAATGATTACTTTCGGAAGTCCATTAGGTCTGCTTCCTGTCGTGACACGTTAAGGGGTAGCTATAGTGGTTGAGCCAATATGTCCAGGGGTGTTTGGGTGAAGGGGTGGTGTGGTGGTGGAGATCCTGTGACACCTGGTCTTAGATAGTTTGACCTATGTCAGGTACGTACGTTATGGGGTAAGAGGGCACCATGGGGTGAATAATTTTGTCCGTGGTGTTTTTGGGTGAGGTGGTGGTGGGGGTTGGTGGAACCTGTGGGCACCTGCTCTCAAGATGATAGTTTGACCTGTGTCAACAGGATCCGTGTTTGTTTTGTTGTTCTTCTTCATCTTCTTCTTCCTGTGACCTGCAGGAATGGAGGAGGAGGTGGAACCAGTGACACTTGCTCTCAGGTTGATAGTTTGACCTATGTAAGCAGAGTACAAATTTCCTTTTTCTTCTGCCTTTCATTCTCAATATTATTATTATTGTTTTGGAGAGGAGAGGACAGAATTCAGGTGAGAGCGTATTCTCCCTCATTAGTCACGGTTATATATTTTCAGTAATTGATTACAGTAATTACTTCCGGAAGTCATTAGGGCACTTCCTGTTATGACACGTTAGGTACATAGGGCGGTACTTATGGAGGTGAGGCTATTCTGTCCATAGCGTGTTTGGGGTATGGGGATAATGCATGTTTGTTTGTTTGTCTACTTCTTCCTGTCTTCATCTTCTTCCTTTTCTTCTTATTCTTCTTCCTCTCCTCTTATCATTATTGCTCTAGAGAGGAGGAGTGGGGTACCGAAATGTTGGCAGCTGGGTGCATGTTTGTTTGTTGTACTTCTTCATCTTCTTTCTCTTCTTCTTTCTCTTTCTCGTATTCTCCTTATTATTATTATTTTTTGGAGAGGAAAGGGAGGGGGGGCATCCTTAAGGTGTCCTTGTTCTCCATCATTAGTCACGGTTACTGATTTCCCATAATCGATTACGGTAATTACTTTCCGGAAGTTATTAGGGCACTTCCTGTTATGACACGTTAGGTACATAGGGGGGGGGGGGGGACCCATGGGGTGAGGCTGCTGTGTCCAAGGTGTTTTTTGGGTGAGGGGTTGGGGTGGTGGAACCTGTGACACCTGCTCTTAGGATGATAGTTTGACCTGCGGCAACAGGATCCATGTTTGTTTGTTGTTCCTCTTCTTCTTCTTCTTCTTCCTCTTTCTCGTATTCTCATTATTATTGTTGTTGTTTTGGAGAGGAAAGGGATGGGGGGCACCCCTTCAGGTGTGCGCGTTCTCCATCATTAGTTACGGCTATTGATTTCCAGTATCGATTACGGTAATTACTTCCGGAAGTCATTAGGGCACTTCCTGTTATGACACGTTAGGTACATAGGGGGGGACCCATGGGGGTGAGGCTGCTGTGTCCAAGGTGTTTTTGGGTGAGGGGTTGGGGTGGTGGAACCTGTGACACCTGCTCTTAGGATGATAGTTTGACCTGCGGCAACAGGATCCATGTTTTGTTTGTTGTTCCTCTTCTTCCTCTTTCTTCTTCTTCTTCTTCCTCTTTTCTTCTTCTCTTTCTCGTATTCTCATTATTATTATTGTTGTTTGGAGAGGAAAGGGAGGGGGGCACCCCTTCAGGTGTGCGTGTTCTCCATCATTAGTCAAGGTTACTGATTTCCATAATCGATTACGGTAATTACTTCCGGAAGTCATTAGGTCACTTCCTGTTATGACACGTTAGGTACATAGGGGGGACCCATGGGGGTGAGGCTATTCTGTCCATATAATCACTACTCCCCACCCCTCTGTCTGCCTCCCTTCCACCCCTGGAGAATGCCCCCTCGCCCCCCCCCTGTCTCCCTCCTTCCCCCCTGCAGAGTGTTTTCATTCCTGCCATCCCCCTTTCACCCCCCCCCCCAGCAGAGCGCTCCCTGAGCCTACTGTCCCCCCACCCCCTGTCTGCCTCCCTTCCCCCCCTGGAGAATGCCCCCTCCCCCCCCCCCTGTCTCCCTCCCTTCTCCCCCTGGAGAATGCCCCTCTCCCCCCCCCCCTGTCTCCCTCCCTCCCCCCTGCAGAGTGTTTTCATTCCCTGCCATCCCCTCCCCCCCTCCCCAGCAGAGCGCCCCTGAGCCTACTGTCCCCCCCCTCTGTCTGCCTCCCTTCTCCCCCTGGAGAATGTCCCCTCGCCCCTCGCCCCCCCCCCCTGTCTCCCTCCCTTCTCCCCCTGGAGA